TCAAGGCTAGCGCTCTACCACTTGAGCCACAGCGCCACTTCCGTTTTTTTTCTTTTTGCTTATGTGGTGCTGAGGAATCGAACTCAGGGCCTCAGGCATGCAAGGCAAGTGCTCTACCACTGAGCCACCTTCCCAGCCCCTCTCCTTCCTTTTCTCCTTGCTTTCCCCCCCTCCTTCTCTCTCTCTCTCTTTCTTTCTTTCTTTTTCTTCCTTGTATGTCAATATTGCCTGGGACTTGAATTCAGGACCTGGGAACTATCTCTGAGTTGGTTTTTATTTTTGTTTTTGTTTTCTCAAAGCTAGAGCAGTACCATTTGAGCCACAGCCCCACTTCTGGCTTTTGGGTGGTTAATTGGAAATAAGTATCGTAAGGACTTTCTACCTGAGCTGTCTTAAAGCTGAGGTCCTCAGACCTCAGTTAGGGCTTGTCGTTTCTAAGGGAAGGTGGCTCAAAAAGGAGTTGTGGGATTTGGACATATGTAGGGTACCCAAACACACTGACCGTAGCTCCAGACATCACTCTGGTGTGTGTATTTCCCAAAGTGGATACTCTCAAGGGCCATCCATTTAATTGGAGTCTGAGGATTAAAGATAAAAGTGCCACCAATTGATTTCCACAATTTTTTTTTTTTGCCACTCCTGGGGCTTGAACTCAGGGCCTGGGCACTGTCCTTGAGCTTCTTTTGCTCAAGGCTAGCACTCTACCATTTGAGCCATAATGCCACTTGTGGCTTTTTCTATTTATACGGTACTGAGGAATTGAACGCAGGACTTCATGCATGCTAGGCAAGCACTCTACCACTAAGCCACATTCCCAGCCCTCCCCAAATTTTCTTAACATTTTCAAACCCCAATATCATTCTTCGTTGCTCTCTGCACTTAAAGTTCTCTTCTCATATATCTAGCTTGCTATCCTTGCATTTACCATGAATCAGTCATCTACGGAACTAACTGCTTTCAACCCACCCCCATCACCTAGCCCACCCCTTTGTCTCCTCACCTTCGCCTCGCTGTATAGTAACTGTTTGTCATCTGGTGGTAGCAAGTCAGCCACACCAAAATCTGCCACCTGAACCTGACTGGGGGACTTGAGCAGCACGTTCCGGGCCGCCAGGTTCCTGTGCACCATGCCATGTTCCTCAAGGTAGTACATACCCTGGGTGATGAAATAAATCTCAGTGTTAGGGGAAGCAATCACTGAAATCCCGAAACCCCGCAAACCCTAAGGATACTTCTTAGAACGCTCAAATTTCCATCTTGATACCCCGCCCCTGACCGCCCCCAGCCAGGCAGCTCTGTGATTAGAACTGCTCTAGCTTCCTCTCCTACCTTGGCGATCTGTACTCCCCAGTTGAGCAGCAGCTGTGGCCCCAGTGCCCCCCGTTGTTGTCTCACATAATCCAGCAGGGAACCCAAAGGCAAGTACTGAGTGACGAGCTGCAGAGATGACCCTGGGCAAAGGCCCAGCAGCCTTACGATGTGAGCGTGGTCTAGGCTGCCGATGGCCAGCATATGCTATGAAACACAAGAGAGGTTGTCCAAGGAATGGACAGGTTCACATCCACTCAATACACATGTAGCCCAAGGCTTCCTCTGGTGTGGGGTAGAAGGGTGGGAAGCACAGTGGCATGACGAATACAGTATATGACACAGGACCATGCTTCTACATTACTGCAGATAACATTAGCCTCTTTCCTAGTGGCACACAGAATCCCCTTCCTTTACTTACATCTGTCACAGCTTGAAAACTCTGCCGTCCGCTCTTGTCCTCAATGACTTTAATGCAGACTGGAATCTTGATGGATTCACCTTCAGGGATCCATACCCCCTGGGAAATTTAGGACAATTGGTGGTACTTTAATCTTTAGGACCCTTGCATCCAGGCAAGGGTCCTTCTGCATAATCTTTCTTTTTTGCCCTATATCTTTTCCCCACCTCCCCAGACTTTGTGTGGGTCACTTACCTTATGCACAGTTCCGAAGACACCTGAGCCAAGCACTTTAAGTTTCCTCAGCTCTGTCTCTTTAAATATTCTGGCCAAGACTTTGTTAGCCTTCTCGCTGGGATCCAGAGGCTCTATGCTCTGAGGAAAGGGAAGGGAGGCACTCAGGAAACCCACAGGTGAATGCTAAGGGCAGCAGAACCCAAATGGTGGGGGTATATTGAGGAATAATAGGTTCTGTGTGCAAGCTGAGAAAACTTGTGGGGTGGGGCCGGGGACGGTTGTGGGGCCTGAACTCTGGGCCTAGGCACTGTCCCTCAGCTCTTCAGCTCAAGGCTAGTTCTCCACCACTTAAGCCACAGCACCACTTCTGGCTTTTTCTGCTTATGTGGTGCTGAGGAATCAAACTCAGGACCTCATGCGTGCAAGGCAAGTAGTCTACCATTGAGCCACCTTTCCAGCCCAAGCTGAGGAAACTTTCTGTGCTAACAAGATTAGCAATCAAGATTGTACCCTGTGATCAGCAGTCAACGGGAAAACCCTTTGATGGAGTAAGAGATGGGGAGTTGAAGAGAGCTTGCCATGCTATCACCTAGAGTGTCTTTCATACAGTGTTCTATGCTTTTTTGTGTGTATGACAGTCTTGGGCTTGAACTCAGGTCCTGGATGCTATCCTTGAGCTTTTGTGCTTAAGGATTGTACTCTACTGCTTTGAGCCACAATTCCACTTCCAGCTTTTTCCTGAGTAATTTATTGGGGGTAAGAATCTCATGGATTTCCTTGCCTGGGCTGTGATCCACAGATCTCAGCCTCCTGAGCAGCTAGGATTATAGACATTAGCCACCAGCACTCAGCTAGAACTTTTTTTTTTTTTTTTGCCAGTCCTGGGGCTTGAACTCAGGGAACTGAGCTCTATCCCTGAACCTCTCTATGCTCTAGGCTAGCACTCTACCACTTGAGCCACAGTGCCACTTCTGGCTCTCTGTTTATATGATACTGAAGGATTGAACCCAGGGCTTCATGCATGCTAGACAAGTATTCTACCACTAAGCCACATTCCCAGCCTGAATATAACTTCTTTAAAGTCATGGTAAATAGCAAAATCAATATGCCAGGCACCCAGAATATGCTAGGATCATACCTATAATCCTAGCTACTCAAGAGGTGAGATCTGAGGATCATAGTTCAAAACCAGCGCAGGCAAGAAAGTCCGTAAGACTCCTATCTCCAATTGACTATCTAAAAGCTGGAAGAGGAGCTGCACTAGCAGCTGGATGTATTAGAACATTCATTTTGACCAAAAAAAGCTCAAAGATAGTGCCTAGGTCCTGAGTTCAAGCACCAGGACTGGCACCAAAAAATACCCCAAACTATAATATATGCTTTAGTTTTCTGGCTGGGATTCTTCCTCAGAGAACACTGTTGGTTTTTTTTTTGTTTTTGTTTTTGGGTCTGGTCATGGGGCTTGAACTCTGGGCCTGGGCACTGTCCCTCAGCTCTTCAGCTCAAGGCTAGCACTCTACCACTTGAGCCACAGCACCACTTCC